TGAAAAACTGAGCAGAAATAACCAGTAACTACACACCATAAGGGAAACCGATTTTATAGGTTTATTGTTGTTGTTGTTGTTAAGTACCATGGAGTCAGCGACCCTGTATAGAGTTTGCGAGGAGTGGTTGGTGAGTTTGAACCACTGACTTTGTAGTTCAAACCAACTTTGCAGTCCAGCACTCTAAACCAAAGTGCCACACCAGAATTCCCTGGTTTAGCCCAGAAAAATTGCTAAACAAAGAAGCAAATAAACATTACCAAAAAACAACCTTCAGAAAGAATCATAATTCAAACTTGCTATAACATGTTAGAGAAAATGTCTAGTTTTTAACAAAAAAGTATGAGGCATGAAAGTGAGACCCACGATTATGGGGAAAAAAAATCAATAGAAACAATTTTAACTGTCCTCAAATGTTGGATTTATCAGATACATTTCAAAGCAGCTATTATAAGTATGTTCTAGCAACTAAAAAAAATATATATATATGTTGAAAGAAATAAAGCAGAACAAAATGATTAAACAAATAGAGACTCTCAATAAGGATATAGAAATTATTTTTTTTCCTAGAAATTATTTTTAAGAATTAAAGTTTAAAACAAAAAATAAAAGTACAGTAAATAAAACAAAGCATTTACTAGAGAGGCTCAACAAAAGCTTCACGATCAGAAGAAAGAATCACTGAATCTGACTCTAGATTAACAGAAATTATTCTATTTGAAAAAGAAAGATCTGTAAGACCATATCAACTATACTAACATATGTGTAATAGCAGTCTACAGAAGGAGAGGAAAAAAATATTTGAAGAAATAATAACTGGGAATCTTCAAATTTTATTTAAAAAGTAAAAATCTACACATTTTTCTTAATGAACCACAAGTAAGATATATACAAAGATATCCATATAATGATCCTTCACAATTGTTGAAAGGGAAAGAAAATATTGAAAGCAAAATGAGAAAAATTATTCATCTAATACAGAGACATCAGGAGCTCTGATACCGTAGTGGTTACGAGTCGGGCTGTTAACCTCAAAGTCAGCAGTTCGAAACTACCAGCAGTGCCTCCGGGGAAAGATGAGGCTTTCTGCTCCCGTATAGATTGACAGCTCGGAAATCCTATACAGGTTGCTATGAGTCGGAACCGACTCCACACCATTGCCACCACCACCACCAATACAGAGACATAACATTATGAACAGTAGACTTCTGGTTTTAAATATTAGAAACCAGAAGACAGTGAGATGGCATACTCAAGCCGTCGAGTCGGTTCTGACCCATAGTGATCCTGTATAGCGTTTCTGAAGAGCAGCTGGTAAGCCTGAACCATCGACCTTGCAGTTCAAACGGCTTTCAGTCTGGTGCATTAACCCACAGTACCACACCAGGACTCCTTCTCAAACTGTAAGGAAGAAAAAAAAAGTCACCCCAAGAAAGCCATATACAGAAAACCTGTCCCTCGAAAATAAAGGCAAATCAAAAACATTCCAGATAGGCAAGACTTAGAGAACTTGCTGGTATTTTTTTTTTTTAAAAAAGGAATCTTAGCTACCATTGCTGAATATTTTGATTAAAGATTCCAGAAAACAATTCTGATCAAAAACGGGAAAATGCAGAACAGTACTTCAAATAGTTGTGGACTCCAAACTTTCTGGAGTCGCAGAGGCTGGCTGAATGCCTGAAATACTATAAATCTTTAAACAAAAGCATCCCCTGATGTCTCCTTAAACCCAAACAATAGTCATTTTAGTGGGTGTGTTGTGATATCATGAGTGATTTTAGTTTTTTTTTTTTTTTTTTTTTTGATAGCTAATGGTGTTGAGAGAATACAGGAGAAGCACTCCAACGTGAGGTCAGTTTGAGCACAAAGTCAGTGGTTCAAACTCATCAGCCGCTTCTTGGATATATGTTACAACTGTCTCAACAACTGCACTTAGCAACAACAACAATGATGTTGAGCACCTTCTCATAGCTTTATTAGTCATTTGTGGAGTCCTGGTGTGGCACTGTAGGATAAGTACTAACTTGCTAACAGCAAGGTCATTGGTTCAAGCCCACCATTTGCTCCTCGGAAACCCTATACAGGATAGCCATAAGTCACAACTGCCTCAACAACTGCACTTAAAAACAGCATTATTTGCATAATTTCTTTGTTAAAATATATATTAAACTATTGTGCTCATTTTAAAATTGGGTTGTCTTCTTATTATCGAATTTCAAGGGTCCTTTATGCAATAATAAATAAAAGTCCTGTGGCATCATAGGATAAGCACTCGACCTCAAGGTTGATTTGAACTGCAAGGTCGGTGGTTCAAATTCACCAGCCACTTTTTGGAAACCATATACAGAGTAGCTATGAGTCAGAACCAACAATATAGCATACAACAACATCATAAATAGGATTTGCAAAAAATTTTTTCCAGTCAGTGATTTGTCTTTTAATTTACTTAGCACTGTCTTCTGAAGAGGAAACATAAATTTTGATGAAATCCAACTTATTTTTCCTTTTATGTGAGTATTGATAGCATATCTAAAAACATTATCTAACCCAGTAGCATCAAGATTTTCCTATACATTTTTTCCTAGAAAATGTATAGCTTTAACTCTTACATTAATATCTATGATCCAATTTTAATTAATCATTACATATGATATGAGGTTAGAATCTAAATTTATTACTTTTTGCAGGTGAGTACAGAATTATTGAAACACTGTATTTTCCTCTGTTGAATTGTTTTGGAAATCTTATTTAAATAATCAATGATCATATATATTTTGGATTTACTTCAGAGCTCTCAGTTCTGTTCCATTTGTCTACATGTTTATCCTTGCAACAATGCCACACTTGTCTTCATTATTGTGCATTTATAGTAAGTTTTGAAATTGATAAATGTGAGTCCTCCAACTTGGTTCTTCATTTAGAAATACTTTTTTTATGTTGTTGAGACCTTTGTATTCTCATGTAAATTTGGAATCAGTTTATTAATGTATATAAAAATGCCCACTGGGATTTTGATAGGGCTTGTAACAAGATTACTGATTAATTGGAGGATATTTTCCATCTGCATTTGAAAGGTACACTACCATATTAATTAAATTGATTCTTTCAACGAACATGAAATTTAAACTTTTATTCTCTCTCAATAATGTCTTATAATTTTAGGTATACAAAATTTGCATTGTTATTGTTAAGTGCCATAAAGTCGGTTCCAACCCATAGCCACTCTGTATAGGGTTTCTAAGGAGTGGCTGGTGAGCTTGAACTGCCGACTTTGCAATTCAAACCGATTTTGTAATACAGCTCATTAAGCCACAACACCATACCAGGACTCCAAAATTTGCATTGAGTGGGATTAAGTTTGTATTTTTCACACAAGGGTTGCCATGAGTCAATAGCAATTTGACAGCAACTTTCTTTTTGCATTATTTTAAGCATTTTATTGTGATTTAGGTTAAAGTTTATAAAGAAAATTCATTTTCCATTCAACATTTTTTTACACATTTTCTTTGGTGACATTTGTGGCAATCCATTTAACAAAATAGTACTCACCCCACTTTTTCTCTGGCTATAGCGTAGTGGTTATGAATCGGGCTGCGAACCACAAGGTCAGCAGTTCGAAACTACCAGCTGTTCCACGGGAGAAAGATGAGGCTTTCTGCTCCCGTAAAGATTTACAGCCTCGGAAACCCTGTACAGGGTCGCTATGAGTCGGAACCGACTCCACGGCACATAACAACAACAACAACAACAATCCCATTTCTATTCATCCATCTTTCCTGCTTTCTGAACCATGTTTTGGGGAAAATGCTGCACTTTTGGTATCGTATGGTTGATTTTTCTGAGGAACATATTCCTAATGGGTGTAACTATTCACTCTTGTCTGACTGGTATAATGCTGTAGGATAAGCATTCGACTGCTAACCAAATGGTCTGTAGTTCAAGGCCACTAGTCATTCCTCAGAAATCCTATACTGGGTGGCTATGGAGTCAGAACTGGCTCAATGGCACTTAGCAATGTGAGAAATTCCCAAGATGGTCCATCTTCAGGAATAAAGGGAGCACGAGATTGCTAGACCAAACATAGGTTGTTGATTCACACCCAGGGATATGTAAGCAGGATGAATTAGGGGAAGGGGGGAAAGAAATCTGTACTAGGACAAGGAACTTTCAATAAGAATAAAGTCATTAAGACCATTTGGGACAGATTTTAAACTCCATGGTGGTGGCTATGTGCCATGAAGTTGGTTCTGACTCACAGTGTCCCTGTACAGGGTTTCCGAGGCTGTGAATCTTTATGAGAGCAGAAAGCCTCATTTTTCTCCTGCAGAACAGTTGGTAGTTTCGAACTGCTGACCTTGAGGTTCACAGCCCGATTCATAACCACTATGCTACCAGAGCTCCTTTGTAAACTCCATAGTGCCCAGTAAAAGGTGACCTGGAGGAGGGGCTTTTTCGAGGCAGGGGAATAAAACTCTTGGTGGGCTGGCCATGCAGTGCGTCTGCCCATGTCTACTGCGTTAGGCATCCAATGTTACAAAATCGAATAAGGAAAAACTCACTCTCGTTAAAATGAGTGTAAGTTGGATTTCTTGGATTTTTCAGTATCAACAACATTTCTCACAATAGCAACAACAACATTGTTTGATTGAAAGGTGATCCCTGGGGGTTGGTTCAGTTCCAGGTTTGAAAGGTATCAAAGGACCATCATCTTTGGAGTTCCATCAGTCTGTGTTATCATCGGTCATCTGTGACAACCCTAGTTGTGAGTGAGGCTGTCTCAGTGTAAGTTAACCTGTCTTTGTGGTCTCCTTTGTGACAAGTGAGAAGGAATGAGGGAAGGAAATAACAGAAAGAAAAAGGAATGAGAAAGAAAGGGGAAATAGGGTGATGAGAAGAAAGGGAGACAGGGAGAAGACAAGTAAACTTTTATAATCAGTGTTCTCTTAGAATCCCTCTTAGAAAATAGAGACAAACTCCGATAACATTGGTGTGATATTTACCTTCTGAATCCTTGTTGTAGAAAACACCATGTGGATGCAAAGAGTAAGGCCGGGAAGCAAAGTTCTTCAAATGAATCACAATCACATCACCCACTTCAGCCCGCAAGATGGGGCCCAGGAATCCAAGCCAAGAGGGTTTAGGGATCTCCGTGGAATAGGTCCCATCTGAGTAGTGTCTGTAAATGGCTTTTTTGTAAATACCACCTATCCTGTTGGGCCCTCTTTCGAGATATAATGTTGCAAGTCTAAAAATAAGAGGGAAAATATTTTATAACCAATACTAGAAGAGAAATTCGAACAGTTTACCATAACTGTTCATAAAGTATTTTCATATATGGTATTTCATCTGATGTTCACCATTACCCTATAATCTCTATAAAGTTAGTAGGATTATCTTCAATTTACCAGGGCTTTAAACCAGTTCATTTCAGCTCAACACCCTGCTGAAAATTAGGATTTCCACCCCAGATATACTAAATAAGGATCTACAGTTTAATAAGAGCCCCAGGTAATTTTCATGTGTACATTATATAAGAATCACTTAGGGATCTATAAGAATCACCTGAGGAGCACCTGGGGCTTTTGTTAAATGTGGGTTCTGATTCACAGTATCTGAGGTGGAAATGCAAATTCTCAGCAAAGGTTTGAATCAGAATGTGCTGCAAATATATCCAGGTATATAGTAGAGTACATAGGGGACAAAATTATGCAAACATCTTAGCCATAACCAAATACATTGCGGGATCAGTCCTCAAGTCACTTGGCTTGAGAGTTTGAGGGCATAGTCTTAAGAGACATCTAAGTCAACTGGCATTATCTAGTCCATAAAGACAATGTTTTACATCCTACTTTGGTGAGTATCGACTGGGATCTTAAAGTTTGCAAGATACAACTATTGTCTCTTTCCATCAGGAGAAAAGAAGAGTTAAGGAAAAAAAAACAAAACAAAAAAAACTCAGGTTGTTGTTGTTAGGTGCCGTCAAGCCAGTTTCAACCATATTGACCCTATGCACAACAGAACAAAATACTGACTCAAGTGTTATGTTTGAGCCCATTGTTGCTGCCACTGTGTTAATGAGTCTAATGGACTACATGAACCGTAACCTCCATTAGCCTGAGACATGAAGAACTAGATGGTGCCTACCATCTACCACTGTAGACCTTTCTGATCAGGAGCACAATAAAAGGCCCTGGACAGAGTGGGAGAAAAATGTAGAACAAAATTCAAGATTATACAAAAGACTCACTGGTCTGATCGAGACTAGTAAAGTCTGCGAAACTAGGGCCTTTATTGTTCTTAAGTGCCTTGGAGTTGGTTCCAACTCATAGCGACCTTGTATAGGGTTTCCGAGAAGTTTCTGGTAGATTTGAAATGCTGACCTTGCAGTTAGCAGTACAGTGCTTATCCTACATTGCCACACCAGACCTTCAGATACCCTTCAAACCTGGAATTGAACTCATTCCTGAAGATCATCTTTTGACCAAACAATGGACAGGCCTATAAAGTGATCAGTGTTGTTATTAAGTGACATTGAGTAGGTTCTGACCCATAGCAACCTGGATAGGGTTTCCAAGGCACAGCTGGTGAGTTTGAACTGCCGACCTTGTGGTTCAAAAGTGATCAACAGCACTCTTGAAAATGTGCTCCTCTAGGCAATCAATCATATGAAACCAAAAGGGCAGTATTTACCCCCAAAACACAGTTCAGAAGGCAGGAAGGGACAGGAAAGACAGGCGAATAAGAATGGGGACCCTAGAAGAAAGTGGGAAGAGTGCTGTTACATTGAGGGTGTTGCAATTAATGTAATCAAACAAAATGTGTATAAATTGTTGAATAGGAAAGGACTTTGCTCTGTACATTTTCAATGAAACCACAATAAAGTGTTTAAATTTACAAGAAAAAGGATGAGGAGGGGGAGAGAGAGAGGGAAAGGAGAGACCTAGGAATAGGGGAAGAGGAGGAGAAGGAGAAAAAAAAAGAACTACATGTAGATGGATAGTAAATTTTAAGTTCAAAGAACTGAGAATTTATTTGGAAGCATTGAGAACTTGCTGAGGCTTTTCAGAAAGTAAGTGAGGATTCATGTACTGGATTGCAAGGCCAGTGATTCAAACTCAGCATCCGTCCCTCAGAAACCCTACACATACTCACTATGAGTCGGAACAGACTTGACAGCACTTAACAACAACATTTTGGCAATGGAATCCCTAGGTAATGCAGATGGTTAGCATGCTTGCCTGCTAACCAAAATGTTGGTGTCCACCCAGAAGTGCTTCAGAAGAAAGCCTTGTTGTTGTTAAGTGCCATAAACTCAGTTCCAACTCATAATGACCCTGTATAGTGTTTCCAAGGAGTAGCTGGTTGGTTTAACTGCTGACATTATGATTAGCAGCCCAGTGCTTATTCTAGAGTGCCACCCCAGGCTTTTTGGAAAAACTCAGCTATCATATACAATCTACCATGACACACATAGGGTCACCATGACTCACTGGCAACTGGTTTACTATAATACTGATGTGCAGTTTTTGAGGAGTCAAGCAAAGAGGAGAATAAAGATGAGAGGCAAATTATTAGGAGATGTTGTTGTTAGGGACTGTCAAGTTGGTTCCAACTCATAGCGACCCAATGCACAACAGAACGAAACACTGAACCTTCACCTCAATTGTTATGTTTGAGCCCATTATTGCTGAACTGTGTCACTCTATCTCATTGAGGATCTTCCATTTTTTCCCTGACCTTTCACTTTTCTAAGCATGAATGATATCCTTCTCCAGGGACTGGTCCCTTCTGACAGTATGTTCAAAGCATGAGAGACAACTCTTGCTATCCTCACTTATAAGGAGAATTTGTTTGGTTGACTGTACTCTTTCTAAGACAAATTTGTTTGTTTTTCTGGCAGTCCATGGTACTTTCGATATTCTTCACTAACAACATAATTCAAACACATCGATTCTTCTGTGGTCTTATTCATTGTCTAACTTTTACATGCATGTGAGGTGATTGAAAATACCATGGCTTTGGGTCAGGCACACCTTAGTCCTCAAACTGACATCTTTGCTCTTTAACACTTTAAAGAGGTCTTTTGCAACAGATTTGTCTAATGCAATGCATGGTGTGATTTCTTCTGCTGTTTCCATGAGCACTGACAGTGGATCTAAGCAAATGGAAATCATTGACAATTTCTATCATTTTTCCATTTGTCATGATGTTACTTATTGGCCCAGTTGTGAGGATTTTTGTTTTCTTTACATTCAAGTACAATCCATACTTTGATCTTCATCAGAAACTATTTCAAGTCCTCTTCGCTTTCATCAAGCAAGGTTGTATCATCTGCATATGGCAGGTTGTTAATGAATCTCTTCTTATTCTGACGCCACTTTTTACTTCATCTAATCTAGCTTCTCAGGTTATTTGCTCAGCATACAGATTGAACAAATATGGTGAAAGAATATAACCCTGGCACATACGTTTCCTGATTTTAAACCATTCACTATCCCCTTGTTCTGTTCTAACAATTGTCTTTTGGTCTATGTACAGGTTTCTTACGAGTACAATTAAGTGTTCTGCAATAACTGTTCTTTGCAATGTTATCCAAAGTTTGTTATGATCTACACAGCTTTTGCATAGTCAATAAAGCACTAGTAAACATCTTTTTGGTATTCTTTGCTTTCAGCCAAGATCCATCTGACATCACAATGACATCCCTAATTCCACATCCTCTTCTGAATCTGGTCCGAATTTCTGGCAGTTCCCTGTTGATGCACTGCAATTATTTTGAATTCTCTTAAACAGAATTTTACTTGCATGTGATATTAATGATACTGTTAGATGATTTCGACGGGCCACCTTTCTTTAGAATGGGCACAAATATGAATGTCTTCTAATCAGTTGCTATGTCCAGGTAGGATGGGATGGTACAATAGAAAGGAAGGATAGATGTGGAAAAGCATTCTAAGACTTGATATGATAGGATGCCTTCCTGGAGGCCCTGGACCAAAGGAGTCTTAACCCTTGGGGCCTTTGTTGTTGTTGTGTGCCGCCAAGTCAATTCTGACTCATAGGGACTCTGTATAGGGTTTCCAAGGAGCCACTGGCAGGTTTGAACAGCTGACCTTGTGGTTAGCAGTCCAATCCTGATCCTGCAGCACCACATCAGGACTCAAAAATAACAGCACTTCATAAGTGGGACAGAGGTAAATAATGATATATGCACAACCTGGGAACAACAGGGTTCTGG